GGCCCACCCCACCCGCACCCCCGCATTACAGGCAGCAGTGTCCACATGCTCAGGGCTCATGTTTCAACATGACAAGAAAGCCTGTAGGCCCACAGAAGCCAACAGTGCCAGCTGCCCCTCGGAGCCTCTGTAGGCCTCTGGAGGGCAATTGCTGGAAATCAGCACCGTCCCCCAGACACACCAGATGCAGATCCACGGGGCCGCAGGCAGCAGGCTGACGGGTTGGGGGGCCTGGGGCCCAGTCTTGCCTGGTATCTCTCTTGGGACCAGCATCCCTGTCCCCCTGCCTCCAGCCCCACGGGGCTACCCCACCCACCTCCTGCACAGACCTGGGCTTTGTGGGGCAGGGGCCCCTGCTGGATGTACCAAGTAAGCTTTTGGTACAAGGCAAGAAAGACCTGGCACAGGGACTCTGAAAAGAGGCCTGCACTGGCTGCCCCAGCTGCAGAGTCTTGTCGACAATTGCTCCACACAGGTCTCAAGAAGCACCACTTGACTTTTTCAGGATCTCTGAATTTCAGAATTTTGTCGGGGGGTGGGGTACGGGTAGATGGTGCTGAGGGAGTGGGAAGATGCATCCAGAGGGAAACTTCTAGAGACATGAGGGCCTCTGGAGAGTAAGAGGTGTCCCTGTCCCCGGCAGCCCAGGCCCAGAGCAGCACACAGCAGGTGATCAACAACCACAGGCAAAGCGATGCCTGAGGGCAAGGAGACAGCAGGCAACTTCAGATGCTGTGAGGTCTGTGAGCACAGGCACAGCAGCCCAGCCAACCTGACCAGGGCTCGGAGGGCCAAGCATTGCAGCCACAACCCTCGGTCTCTCTTCTGTACTGGGTTCACTGCAGAGGAAGGAATATGAACTCACCCGTGGGCCTCCCAGCAGCCCCCAGGAGGCAGGGCCTGCCCAGTGTGGAGGAAAGAAAACCAAGGACCCGGGAGGCGAGGGCTTCACCTCTGGACAGGCCCAGCCCCAGTGCCCAGCTGGACAGCTGTCCCTTGGACCCCACCCCAAGGTCCAGCACCCTGGGGGCCCATGATGCCACAGCCCAGATCTCCAGGTCACAAACTGGTGGCTCACAGCAAGCTTGGGTTGGCCCACAACACTTTCTAAAGATGTGAATTAGTTGCCAGTTCTTAACAATCAAGAGATCTCACACAAAATATGGCTTTCCAGATTCTCTTGAAAAACCAGATGCTCAGGCAGACAGGGCCCTGTTCCCGCCTGGCACAGCCACCAGAGTAGGCAGGGTTGCACTAAGGGCAGCACTGCGTTCTTCAGACCAAGACCTCTGCAGGGCTAGCTAGCCCTGTTCCTACCTTTGCTTTGCAGAAAGGGAGTCATAGGCCAGGAAGGGGGAGGGGGAGCACCTGCTGGCAGAAGTCCAGGGTCTGTTCTCTCCTTGCCCACTGCAGGTACCTGGGATTACTCCAGAGGACTCAAACCAGGGGCTGCCCTTGGGAACTCCTGCAGGGCCCAGGGGGGGGGGGTCCCTGGAGGCCACGGGAAGGTTGGGGCTACATGCAGAGCTGGGGCTCTGAGGAGGATGTCAGCCCAGGAGGATGGGCTGCCTATGTGGGGGGAGCAGGTGGTGGGCAAGGCCTCTGGGAAAGAGCAGGGGAGTCTGGGGGCACCACCAGCCAACCCTCAGCAGCTGAAGTTGGCAGGTCTTAAATTAATCGGCTACAATTTTACACAACGTTTGGAGAAGTCTGGCCCAGGGCCAACCACATCCCTAGAGTTCTTCAGTGTGGCTTCTTAAAGTCCAGGAAGGACCAGGCCTGGAGAAGGCGGGTGTGTCAAGCACAGCAGACACTGCCTCTAGGTCAGCAGCGTGCACGGGTCCCCAGGGCCCAGACCCCAGCATGAGGGGAGGACAGAGGGCAGAAGGCAAAGAGGCAGTGCCCACAAGCACTCACAACGGGGGGCCAGGCCTGGGCCAGCCTCCAGGGCACAAAGGGACCAGTACTCCTAAGGCCTAGAGAAGAGGTAGCCAGGCAGCCAAGTGGGGAGGCAGCATAGCACTGAGCCAGGCTGAGCAGAGGGCACTCATTCGCCCTCCCTGCCCTGGCCCCAGTCCCTAGACCACAGCCACCTCCACTCCCAGGGAGGGATAAGGCGGGAAACTAAATTCTGCTGCCACAGGCTGGGCCCCGGCATGTGCCGGCAGGGAGAAGTCTGGAGGCCTAGCATGGGGACCTGTGGGAGGTCACGGAGCTGGGATGGGCACAGTGAGACTGAAACCCTGGCCGAGAGGCTGATGAGGGGGGCACCCTTTCATCCTGATCCCACCCTGCTCTAAATCTACACCTGCAGACATGCCCCAGGGTGGGGGGTGAGGCTCGAACGCACACAGGTTCTAGGAACTAAGGAGGCAGACAGGGGAGGAGGGCTGAGCCATGGGAGCTGGAGCCCAGCCTGGTCCCAAGCAGCTTCTGGCTGATGTCCTGGGCTGTGCAAAGAAAGCCTGCAGGCTGGCAGCTCAGGGCAGGGGCAGGCGGTGGGGGGCTTTTGGGGGAGGGGCTGCCCTGGACCCCAGGCTACTCAGAGAGGGGAGGGTCGCTGAAGTAGGGGCCCCCATTTCCTTTCCTCCAGGGACCCACACAAAAGGGAGGAAGGCTATAATCATAAGTGAGGATCCTGCAGCCAGTAACTCGGGGCACATGCCTCTTTTACCTGCATGCCTCGGTTTCCCCATCTGTCAAATGGATGACAGGGTTTTCATGAGGACTCCAAGGCGCACCACCACACAAGCACTCCTGAGCCCTGCATGTCCTAGGTGGGAGCAGCACTTCAGGTTTCGGACCTGCTGGCACATCCTGTCCTCCCTCCTTCCTCATGCTGTGCTTGAGGTAACCGTGGCTCCGAGAGGCTGGACAGCCAGCTCTAGAACACACAGCTGGTGAGGGGGAGAGCAGAGACCATGCCATGCTCAGCCATTTGTATGAGACTGGGGTGTGAATAATCAGCCAGGAGATGTGAACAATAATGCGACAGCCTCGAGATGCCCTCTACTCAGCCAGGTAGATGCAGAGAGAAGGAGTACAGATGGCAGGTCTAGGAATGAGGCAAGGGCATGCCTCGAAACCAAAGTGACAGAATTCCCCAACTCGCAGACTGCCACCACCAGGCTAGCATGGCTGACCCCACCACACTCAGAAAGGGCGCCATCCATTCATGTGCAGTGTGGTGCCCAGCAGATGATTCCAGGGGCGGAAGGAGCTGGTACCCAGGTCTGGGCTCTGGGAGGCAGGCATGGGGCAGGAGAAAAGGAGGGGGACCTCTGGCTATGGCTTCCTTCTGCCCAATTAAGCCTCTACTCATGGATGGGCCCAAGCCCAACTCCATGGTCTACACGCTCGGCCTCAGTTTCCCCTCTGTGGGACTGGGCAGGAAGGCAGGACCAACTAGACTCAAAAGCTTCCACCCAGACATGGCCGTGGGGCATGGCAGTGAGGAGGAGGCAGCAGAACCAGGGCTGGCCTAACCTGTTCTCCCAGGCTTGCAGGGTGACCTGTGGGCACAGACAGCACCTCAGATCGCTGCCTGCCAGCCCACCAGCCATCAAAAGGGGCGCCCTGTGGGATGTCTCCAAGGGGCTTCACCCCATGGACCTGCCTCAGGGGGAGGTTCTCTGGCCCCTGCCAAGTACAACCTGCATGACACCCCCAAAAGGGCTCCTCTGGCCCTCCCCCCACTCCCTCATGCCCACGTGCCCTCCCTGGGGCAGGAAGAGGGAGTACACACCGGGTGGGAGCATCACCCTTGGGAAGGGAAAGGTCCCCACACTCAGGCTAAAGGCAATAACCCCAACACTAAGGCCAGGGGGTGTGGGGATAGGTCACATGAGAGGATCGGTTCTGAGGGCACATGGGGCTTGCATGGAAGGTGGTAGGATCTGCACTGGCCTGCCCCCCACCCCCACTGCCCAGAATTGGGCAGGTACTTAGCCTCACAGTCACTGTGAACAAAACCCCACAGCACCTCAGGGTGGGCTTCAGTCAGCAGCTGGGCCTCCACTGCCCCAGGGACACCTCAGCCCAGAGCCGACACATCCTGGCTCAGAGGGTGGGCCGGTGTCCCTTCTCAGAGGCCACAGAGCCTGTGAGCAGTGGAACGTGATTCCCAGGGCACTCATGATGCAGAGACAGGGGGATCTCTTCTGCACCCCCGAATAGGGGCTGAGAACAGGCAAGGCCTTGCTGGCCCCAGGCCCAGCCCCTACCCATGGGTGCCTGGCAGGGAGCTATGTCAGTGCCAGGCCTCAGGACAGCTGTTATTTCATCCACCAGGCCCTACCCCTGCACTGACCCTCTGGGGCTCATAGGGACCCTCACCCTACAGTTGCCCAGGGAACTTTCTCCACAGCAGGCCAGCCCTACCCTGGTCTGGTCCCCACCCACTCACTAAGTTGGCCTGACCCACAAGGCAGCTCCCTCCACTCGCCCCTCCAGGAAGCCCTCCCACCCCAACTCTGTAACAGCTCCACTCAGCCCACTACTTACTGGGCTGGAAACACCAGACAGGCCCTGCTCCACAGCACCCCCAGCTCTCACCCTGAGGAGCCCAGCGGATGGCCCTGAAGCTGGTCCCTGTTACTCAGCAGTCACCACACTCCACTCACACCAGCCAATGATGGGTGGGGGTGGGGGCACTACCCTTGCACTGCCCTTGGCCTTACTGCCTCCTTACTCACAGAGAGGGGGCCTCCTGCACAACAGAGTGCTGCCTCAGCAGACACTGGATCTCCAAGAAGGGAGGGGTCCCAAGCAGACATGCCTGTCCCAATCACCCACACACAGCCTTCCCAAGTCACCTTGTGTCCTTGGAGAGCAGGGCCAGCAGCTGGGGCCCGCTGAGGCACCCTGGCCTGTCTCTGCCCCTCACCAGAGCCCCCAAGGTCATGGGGCCCGGAACAGCCCCCACCTCCTCACACACTGGATCTGACCTCCTGCCCCAGTTCTATCCACCCCATCTCCCCAGCCCCACCCCTAGGTCTGACCTTTCGGATGTGGCCACTTCGTGTGCCAGTGAACACAACGGTGCGTCCCCGATAGTCATAGGCGGCCACAGCAGTCAGGCCATCCTCCTTGTCCACAAATAGGGGTGTGCCCTCGATGGTAACCGTGCCCCCCAGTGGCTGGTTGAAGTCCTGCCCACAGAAGTCGTCATCGATCTGCAGGGGCTGTGGGAGGGGAAAGGTAAGACCCTGGGCTGCTCAGCCTACCCCGAACACCTTTACCCTGAAGGCAGGGGCTTCACAGCCAGGATCTGCCAGCTCATCTAACTGGAGACACCCACAAAGGGTCCTCAGGGGCAAGCACATGCCACACAGCGGGACTGTGGCCCAGGGAACCACTTGCACAGATCTGGGGGAGCAGAGACTCCTGGTCTCATTCGACAGATGAAGAAACCAAGGCTCCTTGAGGCTGCCCAAGGCCTAGGCAGGCTCAGGACTGGACCCGTTTCTCACACGTACAACTCACACAGGCCCCACACCTAACCAGGGGTGGGGGTGGGCAGTGGAGTGAAGAAGGAGGAAGACTGGGGGAGTCCGGGGAGCAGCCAACCAGGGGGCCAGGCCTGCTACACCAGTGATGGTTGCCCAGAGGTGGGGGTAGCCACTGGTGACTGTGGGGTACAGGAAGGGTTTATTCAAGACAGGTAACAGGAGTCACACCTAAAGGGCAAAGGGAGGGACCCAGCTAAGAAGGTGACAAAAGTATAAGAAGCAATCAATAGTGTGAGGTTTTGGAGAAGGCCAGGGGACAGGGAATGGGGGTGGAGGTACTCCAGGACAAAAGGGAGGGCAAGGTGAGCAAGACAGGCTCTAGGTGGATGAAAGGGGACAGCTGGTTTGCAGGGCGACAGGTCACTGACGAGGCAGCACCACCAGAGCTGTGAACCACAAAGGGGTGGATAGGTGGGGCGGCAGGGTCGGGGCTGCACTGGGGTCCTGGAGCGGCTCCAGAATGGGGACTGGCCAGGGGGTCCAGGCCATAAGGAAAAGAGAGTGAAGGGAATATGTGGAAGAAGTGGGAACAGTGCCCAGGGAAGGGATAGACCTGGGGAAGGGCCATGGGTACAGGACGTGCAGAGTGACCTCAGCGGGCGCTGGCCCTCCAAGCCCCCGTTTCTATATCTGTACAATGGAGATAAAATGCCTTCCTTGAAAGGCCAAGGGGAGGATGAACAATGCATCTGCCTGGTACACCTGTGGCCTCGATGTGGAGGGTGGCCCTGTCATAAGGCCACCCACTGCACTGTGAGAAGGGTTTGAAGGGACCTTTACCATCCCCCCCTGCCCTGAAGACAAACCAGTGTCCCTCCCAGTATAGACATGGGAAACTGAGGCCAGAAAGGGCATGGGCTTTCCCTGGGCCACCAGCGAGTGCTGGGCAGCAGCAGTGGAGATGAGGCCTGGCTCTAGAAGTCCCTGACCTAGATGAAGGCCTGGCTTTTTCACTTGTGACCCTGAATAAGTTCCCTTCCAGGCCTGGGGTCATCCACAAGATGCTCCCTGAAAAGGTCAGCCCCATTAGGGCCCAGAGACGGGAGCTATGGCTGCCAGCTACTGAGTGCCCAGCACCTGTGAGCTCAGGCCATCCCAGTGCCAGGGCTGGTGTCGTCAGCTGCCACTGCCAGGTGAGGGCAGAGAAGCCCAGAGGGCAGACACATAGCCTGGAGCCCACAACAAGGGTGAGCAGAGACTCTCAACCAGGGGACTGGAGGAGTCAGTGTCTGGGGCCCATCTGACCCTGGTTTGGCTCCAGCTCTGCCACTTACTGACTGGCTGTGTGACCCTAGGCAAGTCACCTCACCTCTCTGAGCCTCATAGACCTTATCTGTAAAACAGACACTAGAGGGGGCCAGGAAGCCCTCGGAACAGTGCCAGGCATGTGGTCAGTGCTCTGCCCAACGTCCACAGGGGCTTATGGACTGGTGAACATAGTCCTGTCCCGGCTCCTAAAGGAATAGGACAGTGCAGGCCTGGGAGCAGGCTCCAAGGCCAATACTGTGGGGCCCTCTCGGAGACAATGGACCCGTGGCGGCACCTGAACAGGGCAAGTGCCATATGGGCATCTGGCTGATGGTGCTATTACTGTCTCAGAGGTAAATGGGGCCGCACGGCGCCAAGGCTGCTGACTGTGTGGGGCCAGCAGGGCAGGAGCAGCCCCCCACTGCATCGTAGCGCTCACTCACCGAGTTGATGCAGCCCAGCTCCTTGTTGAGCAGCCAGGGCAGGGAGAGCTTGCCCTCGCCACGGTAGCAAGACTGGATGCGCTCTTTGATCTTCTCCTTGATAGCCCTGAGCGTGAACAGGCACAGCACCGACTCCTTGGGCGGTTTCACGCGGTTCTTCTGGCCTTGGGCGAACACAGTGAACAGCACATCCTCATTGTCAGCCAGGCCTAACTGCCGGGCCAGGGCACTGCCAGGCCGGCTCAGGTAGGCATCCTGCACCAGGCGGTACTCCACCCCTGCCTGCTCACAACCGATGGGGAACTCGACGTATGAGTAGAACTTGGGGTCGTCTACACACAGACGCACAATCTTGGAGGTGAAGAAATGCTCCCCAGCGGCATCGGGCGAGGTCAGCTGTGTGTCCAGCTGCAGGGTGAGGTAGTACACGAACTGCTCGCTGCGAAAGCTGTACACATAGTAGATGTCGAAGGCTGGGAACTTGGACAGTGTGTCCGAGGGGATCTTGAGCTGTGACGACACGAACTCGTCCTGGTACACAAAGCTGAACATGTCGGCATCCTCCTCATTGGCCATGAGCCGGCGGCTAGACAGTGTGGGGAAGTACTCGGACTTGCCATCGATGGGTGTGCCCACGAAGAGCTTGGCCTGGGCCTGGCCCGGTGGCCCAGCGATCAGCACGCCTGCCATACTGCCTGCCTCACGGACGCTCGACAGGTAGTGCTCCTTGCGGTGGTGGGGCTCGCCCAGCTTGAAGAGGTCATCCAGTCGCAGGAACTGGCAGATGCCCTGGGAGGCGCTGCCACAGGCCAGCAGGCGGTTGGCAGCATAATCCAGGAGCAGCAGCTTGTTGACGTTGTCGGTGCTGCCCAGGCCATGTGGGCACGACTGCACGCTGGGTGGGGGGTAGCACTTCTCGTTGTCCTCCACAGGGCCTGTCACGTGGGCCCGAAGCAGCGTCAGGTTCCCCGACAGCTTGTAGATGCGGTTCACCGCGCCCACGTACACCTCACCCGTCTGCTCATGAACTACCAGGTGGGTGAGGCCCCAGTCGCTGGCGGCAAAGGTGCGGAAGGTAGGCTGAGGGTCTCCACCCGCTCTAGGCACACCCGCCACTGCCCGCACAACCCCCGGCAGCGACAGCAGCAGCAGGAGCGCCCGTGGGCTCAGATGTGGCAGTGGCATGGCGGGCCGGGGCCTCCGGCTGAGGCGCTCAGGTCCTACAGGGACATGCATCACAGGACGGGGAGCCTCAGCCCTGCAGGGTGAACAGCGGGAGAGTATGTGAGTGTGGGCAGGGCCTCCGCACTGGGAGGGTAGACACGCCTACATGCCATCTCATGAGCGCTCTAGAATGCCCGTCCATACTGTATCTCCAGGGGCACGACCTAACCCTGCAGAGAAGCCAGAGGTCCAAAGAGAACATCTCCCCAGCCTGAAGCCCTGCAAGCAGCAGGCTCACCAAGACCAAGCCTGTGACCCCCACATATAGCACAGGACATCTGCTGGGTCATCAGATATGCTCCATGAACACCTGGGCCTGCCATCACTGGCCAGCCAGAGAAAAGAAATGGACCCAGGAACAAGGAGATGGGTGAAAAGGGCTTGGGGTCAGACTAAGAGCCCTCACCTCCTGACTCAGGGCTTCCCCATGTCCTACAGGGTAAGTAAGACACTCCCAGCCCAGCTCCAAGCTCCCAGGGCAGGTGACAGCCTCTGCCCAAGGCTCTGGGGACACATGCTCCCTTGCATGCTCTGAATAGTCCTAGTCGCAGGCACCACCCATGGCGTACGAGGACACTCAGGCCCCCTGCATACAGGTAGCGATTCTCAATGCAGGCAGAGGGCAGTCTGAGTCACCTCAGCCCTGGGGACCCTCACCGGCTAACCCTGGCCCTGCCTCTTGCCAGGCCTCAAGCCCCTGTACCCTGAGGACTGATCCAGAAGCCAAGCCATGTGCACCTCCCACCTACCATCCCCACTCCCAGCCGACCGGTGCCCCTTACCTGCCCCCAGCTCCCATGCCCTGTGCTCTTACCCCTCCCAGGCTCCCTGGTAGATGGTCTCTCAGTTCCCCTTTAAATCCCTCAATCCAACTCTAAGGAAAGAGGAATTCTCCCAAAGGAAAAGGAGAGTAGGGGCTCTCTGAACCCTGCCCCTCAGTAGTGGCCCTCTCTCCCCAATCTTCAATCCCTCTACCCCCACCCAGCCCCCAGACTCACCTCCACCCTCCGCTCCTCCCCTCCCCTGTTGCACTCCCAGCACCATCCACCCTCATGCCAGGCCTCTCACCCTTGCTCCCCAGGCAACACTCACTTGCTACATCTCCCCCAAGCTGCCCACCCCTCTGCTACCTGCACAGCCACAGCGTTTGGCCCCTCCACTCATGTATAGCCCAGTCTCTACACAGTAGCCTGGGCCACTTTTCTGGACTGCATGTGAGGTCACCAGTACCCACCCCCATCCTGCCGTGGCCCCTCTTCCTCTGGAAAAGTCTCCCCACAGCCCAGAAGTTGGCAGTCAGGCACTGAGTCAAATCGAAACTCTGTCATTGTAGCCATGCAGCCCCGAGGGGAAAGGCCACCCCTCTTTCCCAGCCTCTGTTTCCTCATTTGTAAAATGGGGATGACAATGGCTCGTCTCTTAGTGGTAAAATGGGGAAGGTCAGGACACTCCCACAAGGTGCCATCAGCAGGAGTACCCTCTCCATATCAGCAGGGGTCCCACTGGGGCCTCTATCCAACTCCTGGCTGGAGGCTGATTACAGAGATGCTGGTGGGGTCTGCACATATCCCTGCTCCCAGACACTGATCCTAATATAGCCTGGCAGCCCCATTTTATAGGTGGGGAACCTGAGGTCCAGGCTCACCTGCTAGCTGAAGACAGCAGCTGCTCCCTCAAAACCAGTCACCCCATTTGAATTTGTGGCACAAGACTTGCTAATAGTTTTGTTATTTATTGTTCCCAGACACTCTCCCCACTATAATGGCAATTCCCTGACAGCAAAGCCTGGCTCCGTGGTTTACCCCAGTATCCCCAAAGCTGGTATCCCCAGAGTCGACCCCAGGACTCAACCGTTGTGAATGAATGAAATGAATGGACCCTGGGAAGAACAGGACCTGATCCCTCACCTTGTCCTCACTCCCCACACACCGTCTGCCCAGTGACTGCCCACACCCACTGCTCAGGTGGGGACACTGAGGCTTGGGAAGAGAGAGGTGTTAGCCAGGATTCCACCAGCAAGGGAACCAGGTTGTGCTGCTTTGCAGGACCCTCCCAGCAGGCTATCAGTTGCCTTTCCTTGAGAATCTCTGACCAGACATGGCCCCCCAAACTACAGTCACCAGGGACCTCTGCTGGCAGCCAGGAAAGGAGTCCCCAGCCCCCAGCTCAGGAGCCCAAGGCCGACCAGGGAGAACAGGCTCCTCACAGTGGCAGCGGGGCCTGGACTGAAAGCTGAGTGCATGTGAACTCCAAGAAAACATGAATCACTCACCGTTTATCAGTTCAAAGCAGACCTGCAATTACCAGGGGCTGGGCTCTCCCCTCCTCGGGGATAATTATACACGTCTTAATGCAATTATGGGCCCTACTTTTTATATTAAACAGGAGAGACCCAGCTGAAAAAGCCACCGTCCAAACTCAGGCCTGGCCCTGGGCCCACTTCCCCTCCTCCCAACAGAGGCTGCCTGGAAGGGAAGGGACCGGCCAGAGGCATGGGGCTGCCAGCCAGGAAAAGGGGATCGGGAACACAGAGCTGGGTCCCTCAGCCCACCAATTCACAAAGGCCAGCACAGACGTCTGGGTTACTGCTCCTATCTTAGCAATACGGGGCCCAAGGCTCAGATAGACCCAAGGTCACCCAGCTAGTCCCAGCAGGACAGGGACGGAATCCCAGGCTCCTACAGAGACCTGGATGACCAGCAGACCTGCTAGGGCTCGACTCCCACATGCCTTTGGTCTGCCCAGGGAAAAATGCATTCATTCCAAAGCTGCCTGGGTGCTGGGAAGGACCGTGCTGGGCTGGGGGAGGAGAACACCACACATGCAGTGTTCTGCGGCTGGTGGGGAGCAGAACAAGCCACTGTGGTCTGGGTAGGCTCCCCCAGGGGGACTTTTCACCTGTTCTAGAAGGACAAGGCACAGTGGGAGCTGGCAGGGGAGCAGGAGCAAAGGCCTCGGGGTGGAACCTGCTGGACAATGCAGAGAAGGCGAGGAGAATGACTGCAGCTTCCTGGCTTCGGCAAGAGAAACAGGCTGTGCTGGGGCCCAGTCAGAGCCAGACCGGGGCGGGAGAAGCTGAACTGGTGTTAGATGTGCCGAGTGGGGGTGAGCCAGGGAGAGAGGGGCCAGGACAGAGGCAGACAGGCCTGGCATTGCAGGCCCCATTCCTGGACAGGATGGGCTCGGCTGTACAGTAGAACATGGAGCGATCAAGGTCCCGAGTCCCTCTCCCAGCCACCACTCCTCCTCACCCTGAGAAACAAAGGCCCTCACTCAGAGCCCTGTTCACAGAGGGAGAGCCCAAGCCCCAGGCCTTGGGCTCTGGATCCTTCTGGGGCTCAGACAGGTTAGGGCACAGGGAGGGAGTGGGGGACAGAGAAGACACTGCCATCCTGCCCAGTGGTGCCCCATTATCAACCAGGACTGAGAGCTACCCCTGTCACCCCACTTCCCTCAACACAGGCCCCCGGGAGGCGGTGCTGAGATGCCCTGCTCTCCCACCAGACCAGTCCTAGGGGACCAGCACCTGGAAGCATTAGTCCTACTTCTCAAAAAAGTGCCACCACTTGACCTTCCCTAGAGGCGGTGCCCTCTCCTCCTCTAGCTTCTCTAGACAAGGGGCCCTTTCTGGAGGATCATAACATGCAGGCAACGACCTGGGGGCCACAGGATGCCAGGAAAGGGCTGTCTGCTTTGTCCAAGGCACTTCACTTGTTCCCCACCCCCAAACACACACCTCAGCCACAAGGCCTTGCCAGACCTCCACCCATGCTGTCCCCTGCCTGAAACGCCCTTGCTGGGCCCTGAAGTGGAATCACTGGTTTTCCAGTCTGCTTCTGACAAGGGACTGGGTGCTTCTCAAGGGCTGGGCAGGGTCTTGGCCGCCTCGTGCAACACCTGGTCTCTCCTGCATACTGGGAACCGGCAGGGAGCTGAGGGTACCTGGGTCATGCTCCACAAGGGCCAGAGGAGCAAAGGCTGAGCCCCACCCCCCTGCCCAAACCCAGAGAACCAGCCTCAGCATGGAAGGAGAAGGAGCCCAGGCTTGGGGGGCAAAGGCACGGTCCACATCCCACCCCGAACACACACACCCCTTTCTTTCAAGGGGCGTGGCCCCAGCACCCCACAGATCAGCCAGAGCTGCTCCAGTCTCTAGGCAGTCACTGGAGCCCCTCTCACCCCCCTTTCCCGGGCTGCACCTGGGATCTCCCGGCGGCCAGGGTCCTCCCTGGCGCCCCGTTCCCCATTCCCTAAGGCAGTTCCGAATCAGCCCCGCCGCCCCCAGCTACGGTGCACATCGGGCCAGGGCCAAGGACTATCCAGGAAGCAATCGGAAGCCTCCGAGGGAAGCAAGCTGACCCTGAAGAGGCCCTGCGAGGGGGAGGCCTAGGAGGCCCGAGAGAGCGGGGCAGCCTCCCGGGCGGCACCCGCACCGCCCCCTCCCAGCCCGAGTGCGCGGCCCTGCGAGCCTGGGACGGACACAGCGCCCATTTCCCAGCGCCGGGGGCCAGAGGGGCCAAGGGCGGGCTGGATCCCGAGGAAGCGGCTCTAACTTCCACCCCCGCGCTCTGAGGGCGCAGCCCCGCACGCCCTCCTCCGACTCCCGCGGCCCTGCCCGGGCCTGCCCAGACCGGCCCAGCCCTACCGGCGGCCAGAGGTCCAAGCCGCGGTCCAGCCTCCGGGCTCGGCCTGGGTATCCGCAGGGCCCTACCACCAGGGCCGCCTCAAACTTTGTCTCCTGCCTTAGAGGAAAGAGCAGCGCCGGCACCAGCCTTGCCGCGCGGCACCGCCCGTAGCGCTGCCCCGAGGAGCTCGCAGGACCGGGCCGGTGAGGAGGCCCACGGCGCGGGGCCTGGGTCTGGGTCTGACTCCCGCCAGGCGAGGACACGACGAGCTCAGTACCGGCGCCGCGGCCGCAACCGCGGCCGCAGCCGCGCCCGGATATACGCGGGAGCCGGACCGGAGCCGCAGGGACACTGGGACACGAACGCCGCAGTCCTCAGCGCACACCCCCTGCCCGCCCGGCCGCACGCCCGCGCAACCTCGGCTGCCAGACTAAGGGCGCCTCCCACCCGGCGCGCCCCCGCCCGAGACCCCCGCCTGTCCCGCTCCACGCCACGGAGAAAGTTGCGCCCCTACTCACCGGCTGCCCCCGGGCGCGCCCTGCCGCCGGCCATCGCCGCGCCCCGCCGCCCGCCCAGCCGCTGCTTGCTCAGCCGCTGGGCCGCCAAAGCCTCGCAGGCCGCCCAGGCCGAGGCCGCTGCCGCGCCGGGGCTCCGCTGCGTGGCCGCGTCGCGGCTGCCCAGCATGAATGGGGAGCCGAGCTCCGCGCGGCTGCGGACTAGCCTCGATCCCGTCGCCCGCGGAGCGCCGCGCCGCGCGCATGCGCTGCCCGAGGCCGGGGAGGCGGGCCGGAGGGGGGGGGTCGGGGGAAACAGGCGCGGGGGGCGGGCGCGGGCAGCGTCCTCCAGAGGGCGCTCTGCCCCGTGCGGCACGCCCGCCCGGGCCTACTGCGCGCCCTCAAAGGGTGATGCGGCCGCCTGCCTTAAAGGCTGGGCGCGGGGGCTGCGGCGGGGCGTCCCTGCGAGCCCCCCAGCATCTGGTCTGTCCTGAGCCTGCGTCCCCAGAGGCAGGGCCTGGCTTCCGTGTACCTGGGCTAGGAGCACAACCTTCATTCACGGGAGAGTAAACTGAGGCCCAAGGAGGGAAAACATCCTACCCTGGGTCATGCGGGGCTATGGTGTGGGTTCCCGACCCTTGGCCTTGGCGATCGCATCTGTTAGGTGGGATGGGTACCCTCACTAGAGAGTAAAACGGCGCCCTCTGCCGGCCGGGCCGCACAACTCCCTACATCCCCCAAAACTCAGCTGCGCATTCACTGACCGGGACGCAACCCAGGAGGAAATTTCCATCTCAGGGTCCCGAGGTGGGGCATAGCAGGACGCAAATCCAGGCTATTCTGGACCGAAGCCGGGCGCGCCTGGGGGCGCGGGGACCGGGGGCCAGGGCTGCCCACCGAGGGCGCGAGGCCCCGTGCCCCAGCAGGGGGGCAGACAGCAGTTACTTGTGATGGTGCTTGTCCAGAGGCCTGCGTATTCTGAGAGCCGGCCAAAGATTGGGGCGTGGGGAGGCCTCCCCATAGAAGTCCCCGTGGAAGGTGAGGCGAGGCTCAGGAGCGCCTCTAACAGAACCCAAAGGACCAGAGACCCTTGTGGTTGGAGGGCGAGCTGGGTAGAGGAGAGCAGCAGAGCATGGAGAAGCTCTTGCTGTGTGAGAACCTGGCTGTCATCCCCACAGAAGAGGAAACAGCTAAAGTCCAGGGTAAGGAACTTGGCCCGGCAAAGGGGTCCTTCCCACCTCGCCCCCTCCCTCCCCGGGCGCTGTCCCTATCCTAGTTACTGGGTTAATCTTTCCCTTGGTTTCCTTTCTGCATTTGAGCATGCTGCTTTGCTGTGATTGTGGGGCATCATGGAAATGCGATCTCTGCACTGTGAGGGCTCAACAAGGCCGGGTTGCCTATGGGCAGGTTGACATGTCTTCGCAGGTGGTGCTAGTTATCCTTTGTCTTGCTGACGAACCAGCGCCCCAGATTGGGACCACTGTGCAGTGAGCTGTAAGGGACATCTTGTGCAGGCTCTTGGAGGCAGTTAGACTTGATGGACTGCTGAGTCACCAGGTAGGTGTGTGTTTAGCTTTGGTGGACACCCCAAAGCAGTTTTCACAAGTGATAGTCGTTTGCAGTCCCAGAAGCAGTTTGGGGCCTGGCAGCCCCCATCCTCACCTACATTTGGTACTATCACTCTGGAGTTGTTGCCTATCTGGTGGTATGCACCGGTTTATCATTGTGTCTTTAATTTGCGTGTCCCTGAATAAGGGTGAGCATCTCTTTTAAAAGTTCTATTTACTGTTTTATTGAACAAGCACTAATCTAGCTAGCGCTGACTCTACACAGGACTGTGCTACATTTTACAGATGGGTAAACTGAGGTGGGAGAGGTGAAGTGGCTTGCCCACGTTCCCTAGCTGGTGGGTGTCAGAGCTGGGAGGCTACATCTGGCAGTCTAGCTTCACAGTCTGAGGTTTCAACTCAGCTACTCTACTACACTTCACACACACACACGCACCTGTGAACCAGACCGAGTTACCTTCCTTCCTTTTGAACTTCTGAGCCACACACCTAGGTATGGATCCTGGCGTGGCTAGTTAATGTGCAGCAAATCCCATCTGTTCCCAAGACCCGCTTTCCTCATCCACGAGATGGATTCAGAGACCCCTTACAGAGGTGCGGTGCGGAGGCGTGAGTGTGAGCACCACAGTGGGCCTGAGAAAATGTCTATCCTTTCTCCCGGTGTTGCTGCCAGAACTCTCCCCACCTCTCTGACTGCTCCTTGCCAACCTATCCTCTGGGAGGCCACTGAAGCAGGCACCTCAAGACCCTTCTCACTCTGTGTTCAACAGTCCCAACAGCCAGGGCTGCTTCTTTGGGGTCCAGCCCCCTATATCCACTGTCTCCCCAGGTGGCTCCGGAGGGCTGCTGGGCTCTGGGTGGCGGCCAAGCTTACACTCTCACATCCTACAGTTATCCCGCCAGGAACCCCAGTGTCCTCCTGGACACCCTTTCCTCCCCCAGGGCCCCTGCATCCCCCAAAACAGATTATACCAGATTATACCACTTCCCTTTATCCCCACTTCATCTCCTGCTCCTGATCATGTCACTCTGTCCACTCCCCAAAAGGCGATGCGTGGCAAGTTCTTTCCAAGATGGAAATCGGATAATGTAATGCTCAAGTATCATGCATGATCATCAGTTCCTGGAGGGCCATAGACGTGAGCACAATAAGGAAAACTGCAAGAGTTTTAGAAGACGACAGAGCAAATCATCTTTATGACCATGGGCTAGGGAAGATTTCTTCAATGAAACATCAAAAATAAATAAGGATCAATTTGACTATCTTAAAATTGGTTATTTTGTTCATTAAAATTACAGAGTTCAGTAAGAGTTACAAAAGAGGAAATGACCAGACAAGCCAGGATTTAGGAAAAGATATTTGCAACACACATATATTTGACAAAAGATGCATATCCAGGATATAGAAGGAACTCCCAAGAATCAATAAGGAAAAGACATCAATCCAGTAGGAACATAGGGAGGAGACAGGCAGTTTGTTGAAGAGAAAATGGGAAATAACTTGCTCCAGTGGGCCAAGTGTGGTGGTCCCCGCCATCTGGAGCTTTGTCTGACCCAGGGGCACCTGCCCTTAGCGTGTTTGTGTGTGTGTCCTGATGCTGCCCTCAAGGAGCCAGCCCTAAGTACAGATGAAGAGGTGGGAGGCTCAGCTGGATTCGCACCCGGGTGTGTGGCCCTGGTGCTCCTAACCGTGCATGATGAGGGTAAATGAGTCAACAGGGCAGTTTGGGCCCTGCCTGCCTGGTTTCCTCTGTGGTTTTGCTTCTGTTTGCTGAGCAGTTTGGGAGGACGTGGGGTTGTTGATGGCACGGAACAATTTTATTCCTAGGAACAGCTCTGATCAGGGTTTGAGAGGAGGTTCTTTCAGTACTTTCCATGTTCCTGCCATGGGAGCAGTTCCCGGGGCTGCTTCTGCAGTTTGGTGACTCAGAGCTTTGTTCAAAAGTAGACTCAAAGGTGCCTTCTTTGGGTCGGCTGAGTGGCTCAGTTGGTTAAGAGCTCGCTCAAGAGTTTGAGCTCTAAGCAACAGCAGTTCAATTCCCGGCCTGAGCTGAGCAGCCTCCGAGCTAATAACAGGTAGCAGGATGGCTCAGCCTAACCTCTCTGGCGGTCTGATTATGTCAGTAACTTTGTACCCAAAGCAGTACATTGTTTTGCATGGAAATTTGTTGTTTTATATTGTCGGCCTGTAATTCTTAGGAATTACTCACTTAAATCTGTCCAAACAAGAGTCTAGTAGGCATCCCAGGAATGATAAAGTTTGAAACACAGAATAATAAATTATAATATAATAAATAATTATAAAAAATAGGGGTTACCGCTTCTGGCAGTGAAAATTAACCCTGAGCCACACTCGGGGTTACCGCCAGCGTAGTTAAAAAAAAAAGGGTGCCTTCTTCCCGCCCCATGGAGGGCCCCCCATCACTGACGGGCAAGGAAGAGGTCAGCGGAGGGAGCACAGGGGGTCTTGGGCACCCAAACTCCCTGGGGAATAGCCACTGATCCCAGTCCACTGGGCTCAAAGCTAGGGTCACCCTGACTCCTGTCTGCCCTCTCCCCACATCAAAACCATTTCTCATGTCTCTTACTCCTGTCACCTCCTGCCCCTTGGGTGTGGAGGCCTCCTTAGTCACCAGCTCCCACCTGCCCCTCCCCACCCTGCTCTCCACACTGTGGCCAGAGGGATCTGAGAGAGGAGAGAGGGTGGAGACCCTCCCCGCACAGATCCTCCAGTGGTTCCTTCAACACACAGAATGCCTCCAGCCCCACACCCTTACGAGCACATACACACCTGCGCATGTGCATACACACTGGGGGCAGGCGTGGAGCAGGCACTCCCTGGGCGTTCCTCCACATTTGGTGGGCACTTGCCTTGGACCTGCCCTGAGTGTGCAGCACCGTGAGTCATCCAGGCTCTTCCTCACGTGCCTCTGTCGGGTTGGTGATGTCAGCCTCGGCCCACAGGCTACCACTGTGGACACAGGTAAGCTGCAGTCACTGCTGCATTCTAGGAGCCCATTCTAGCTGCTGGGTGCAGAGGGGGTGGGGGCACCTGTTCAGGGGCCAAAGCCATCACCACACTCCAAGCCTTTGGCCTGTGGCTCTAACACAGGACCCGCCAAGCCCACTTTCCTGCTGCCCCTGCCCTCCCTAGTCAGGCGCTGTTGGTTGTAGAAGACAGAAACTCAAATGGGCTTAAGCTCCAAGTAACCTATAGTGACTCAGGTTAGCAGCAAATGAGAACAGCTGGGTCTTGGGCACAGCATGGCCATTGTGGGCTCTGCCGGCCACTACCTTGGTTCACACCCACATAGGCCTCTGTGCATGGTGACTTTGGCGCTGCAGGTGTTTCTTTCCCAGTAGGTCCATGGAAATTCCCAGAATGGAGCCTCATGAAGTGGCTGGATTAGGTTCCAGCCCTTGGCCCCTTGAATCAGTTACCATGGAGAGAGGATAGAACCTGACAGTTGATGGACTGGGATCACGTAGCTCTCCAGAGACAGGGGTGGCATTGGGGAGTGGTTCCCCCACTGAAAATCCTGGTGCAATTATCAAAACAAGCAGGCCTGGATGCAGGGTAGGCAAAACATTCAAGACCCCACCTACTAATTGCTACTACTTCAGTGTGCCCGGCATTCTTGTCATGCTGAGATTCTTGCTCCAAAGATGCCTTCACACCTCAGATCTTTCCCTATGCTGTGCCCTTGTCCAGGAGTGGCCCCACCTCCACTTTCCATCTTTCAAGGCACATGTTCCGACCCCCACCCCTTTCAGAAAGCCTTCCTGACTACAGCCCTTCCCGCCTGTGAGCCCTCCTCAGGCTTTCTGTCCCTGTCTGTGCCAGCTGTGACCAGTCTGGGCTCAGGTCTGTCACCAGCCCTCACCCAGCCTTGGGGTTGCAACCAGGTTACTGTCAGTACTACATTGTACAGAAGACACAGTAGCAGAGCTCCCCACCCACCATTCCATAGATAACTCCCCAAGAGCACTGGAGGGGCTCAGCATTGCCTTGTCCTGGGGTTGCAAACTCAGATGACTTCAGGGGCTAAATGATAATGGATGTAAAGAGTACCACAGGCTGGATCTAGGAGCTGGCGAGGGCTAGAGTTGGCATGAGCTGGAGGGCAATTGTGGAAAGCATGGACATGCCCTTGGGCAAGTGTTGAGTGAACAAGACATGCCAATGAGAAGAACCCAGCCAGTAGGTCTCCAGTTTGCAATCTGTGGCTTGGTGCAGCTCCCACAGCACACATCTTGCCCACAAGGCTCAGAGTGGGTGCTTGTTGCCCTGGGTCTCACAGTCAGGTCACAGATGATGGCAGCAAGGATAGGAGCCCTTTCCAGGGCCATGGCCTCTGGAAAAGCTACCCCCTCCCCTTTCACTCCACAGCCACAAGAATAAGACCCCCAGGGTAGAGGTTTGATCACTGCACTGTACACCTGAAGCTGATATTGTATAATATTGTATGTCAACTATAATTGAATATATATATAGTCACGGGACGTGGAGTATAGTGTGGGAGTGGAGTCAAGGGAATTGTAATAGATATGTATGATATGGGGGAGGAGTGGGGCAGCAGATTGGGGGAGGAGGCTCTTGTCACTTTGAGGGGTAAAAAGTATAACTATTGCACTATGTTGTACAGCTGAAACTAATTTAAAAAACGTGTATTTCACAATAAAAAAAAACTGGTAGGAGGGGCAGAGATGTAAAATGGACTGGTCCCACCCCTGCATGTGACCATTAAAGATCAAGAGGGATATTTCAGCCATGAAGGTCCCCCCTCACACCCCAGAGGAGTGAGATGTCCGAGCCTCACCCCAGACCAGAATTCCAGTGCCAGGGAGAGAAGTCCCCATTTTTTTAAAAAAGTGATAGAAAAACTAAACAGAGTGGAGGAAGAGGAAGGGCCAGGTGCCTCGTCTCCTTGGCAAAATCCCAGTCTGGGGCTTTGTTGACCCCTAAGCCTCACCTCTGCCGTGGGCCACACAGTGCTGGCCATCAATGGTGTAAATGTGAACAGCACGTACACACAGCCTATGAGAAAGAGGTGCTGCAGTACCTGGTAAACCTGCTAATTAACCAGGGTCCATTCAATAGGCCAGCCCCACCTCACCTCCAATGAGAAGCTCATGCTGACCTGCATGTTCCACTCACTCTTTACAGTTGACTCCCCAACAGTGCAGTTCAGGCACCGAGATGCTGGACAGACACATTCAAACTGCACTGCTTCAAGTTTGTGATGCTGGCAGATTTTAAGCAAGCTGAAATAGATTCTCTTCTCTAAAAGATTTATAAGATTTACTCAGACTTTGTCCTTAAGAATCCATTCTAGCCCCTGTAAATACCTATCAGGTGTAAACAGTTTGACTAGTACCTAAAGTTAGCCCTGAAGGTGGCAGAGAAGGCTGGAACTTTTGGACTTGTGTCATAAGCTGAACCTACAACTGACCTCCAAAATTCTGAGAGATCTTGCAGCAGGAGCCCTGCTGTTTCCATTCTGATGGAGATTCCAGCAGCCTTGTCGGTGTGCTTGAAAACAGGAGGATGCTGGGCTGGCTGAGTGGCTTGTTGGTTAAGAGTTGGCTTGGGAGTGCGAGCTCTGAGCAGCAGGGCCACTGGTTCAGATCCCACATGGGCCAATGATGCTGCGCCCTCTACAGCTAAGATGGTGAACAACAGCTCGACCAGGAGCTGGGCTACCATGAACTGCTGGCAATAGCGTTGGCTGCAGTGGGACTGCAGTGGGCTGCTGTGAGCTACCGTGAGCGGCCGGCAGCCAGTATGAGCTGCCATGAGCTGCTGTGAGCCGCCGTGAGCAGCTGTCCAATGGCCGGCGACTGATCTGCCTCAGCCAGGAAGATCACAATGATTACAATACCAACATGGGCCAGTGAAGCAATGTCCTCCACAATTAGACTGAAGAACAAAAGGACAGCAACTTGTCTGTTTCCCTTCCTGATTCCCCAACACTGTTCCCCTCCCCCAATTCCCCAATAAAATCTTTAAAAAAAAGAAAAAAAAGAATCAGTCCCCCAGGGATCAGGAAAGCAGCCCAGGTTTTCCCATTGTGCTGAAAATTCCTGGGCTAAAGTAGGGAAACTGGACCTTTCCTCCACCCAAAAGTAACAGGGCAGTGCCCTCTTTGCCCATCTGTGCAGGGTCAGAGGAGGCAAGCTGTGAAACCAAAGAATGAGATGCAACTGATGTTCTCAGTACACAGTACCCCAACTGTGTAGGACCCAATCACAAGTCACTCATCATAGCAAGCACCAGGGAAAACTCAACTTCTTTGAGAATATACAGTCA